ATGTGTGTATGTGTGTGCGTGTGTGTGTGTGTGTGAGTGTGTGTGTGTGTGTGTGTGTGTGTGTGAGTGTGTGTGTGTGTGTGAGTTTTGGTTAACATTCAAATGATTAATTAGTTAGAAACTTGTTGCTATGAATACAGGTGCCATCAGTTGTCTTCTTATGAATGACTTGTTTGTCATTGAGTCAGTGTTGCCGATGCAAAGTAGGCCCTTCGTTACCAATCACCATGTAACTAAATTAGGATACAATTATGAGTCATTTGCAAACTGTTAAACATTAAACTGTTGGTTACTTTAAAACTAACCTTCATCTGGGAGATCACAGGGATATGTGAATATTTGATCTGTTAACTAACTGATGGCATATGTCAGATTTATTGCATGACTCGGGCAGAGAAAAGCTGTTGCTATCAAACATTGTTTACTTAATCAACAGTAAGTTGTAATGAAGGGATAGATCAAATAAGCCAATTGATGGAAGGTTTGCGAAGATATTTCATGCTCCCTTGTAAAAGTATTTTTTAGTATTTTAAAAATACAAAAATACAGTAGTTTATTTTAATACATGGTGTGGCTGCTGTATTTTGTAGTTTATTTTGATACATTTAAAATGAAGGTATTTTGTATTTTATTTTAAAATACATTTTGATGCATCTTTGCCCAACCCTGAACACAATCATATTCATATTGGACTGTTTGATGGACACTTTTATGCTTCAGTTCTTTTGTTGAAAGTCACACGACATTCAAACATTTGGGTTTGATATGATGAGCCTTACAAGAAAAGCCTGCATTTATTTGATCAAAAATACAGTAAAAATTGTGAAATATTATTCTAATGTAAAGCAGCTATTTTCTGTGTGAATCTCTGTTAAACTGTAATGTATTTCTGTGATGTGCAGCTGTATTTTCAGCATCATTACTCCAGTCTTCAGTGTCACATGATCTTCAGAATTCAGTATAATATGTTGATTTACTGTCACTTTTAATAAATAAAAGTAATAATTTCCTGAAAAATGCAAATACAAAAAGTGCTTTATTTCTCTCTCTCTCTGTGTGTGTGC